GGCGCTGTCAAGCATCTCAAAAGATGAATTTAGACAATGTTTTCAAAAATGGAATAAAAGACTAGACAAGTGTATTAGTGTAAATGGAGAGTACTTTGAAGGGGATTGAAGGTTTATGCTTAAAATTTGAATAAATAAGTTAAAAAAAGTTCGGCTTCTTTTGGGTACCCCCTCGTAAGAATGTTAAGAATTGAAGTAGTAAAAACTTCAACAGTCACACTGGACGGAGTTGTTTTATCTTTTGTAATATTTTTAGTGTCACGGACCAGAATGAAACAAATAGAAAACATGGATACATATGTGAAAATACTGAAACTTACATGTCCATCGTAAATGCTACTATATTTTTTCTCCCACATAGAAATTTCTTCTCAATGTAAAGGCTGCTTGGCAGCAAAATGATTATAGCACAATCTCGTATCTTACAATTGTCTGTTCCTGTCTCAAGCCGATAATTTTATGAAGCTGGCTGCTTCTTGCGTGGGTTGAAACGATCCGGCTTTGCATTATGATTACTGATATGCACTGACTGGGGCCGTACCAACGTTACACGGCAAGTGGCATGAATTTATGTTAGGACGATCATGATTGGCAGATAAGCAAAGAATTACGGGAAGAGGCGACAGTATTTGACAAGCTACTAGTTCGGTATTTTTCCGGAGTGATTACTGAAAATCGTAAAAAAAAAAGGCCAATTGCTAAAAGACTACCACAAAGGCTACTTTCAGAATATGAATCATACACGTTACCGAACACCCAAACCTGCTTGGTGACACATAACATCTCATTTGCAGCCTTCACTATTCGGGATTCGAACTCATGTCTTGTAATAGGGGTGTCGGTGATTTGTATATTAGCTATTAGCTTACTTTGAAAACAGGATTCTACCCTTATATAATTCTTTATTATTCCCCTTCTTTCCTTAGGAGAATTTCGATTATCTCGGGCGATGTCATCCAACTCTTTCTCAGCGAGACTCAGTACTGGCTCTCAAGGAAAACGCGTGGTTCCGTAAGGCAACCAGTTCTAGTTCTTTGTTATCAGAACTATAGGGGATTAGCACATGCTACTGGACACGCAGGCTGCAGTGAATACAAACCGGTGTCCACGCTGTGCAAGACAAGGTTAACGCATTCCAACAATAACATAATATCAAAACGGTCTTAATATCAGCATGCTATGGTCATAGCTGAACAGCACTGGCTATAACCTGGGAAACGTGTTATGCACTTAAAACGAGTATCCGGTTTTATTCCCCTTGACATGCCTCGCAAAAAGAAGAAAACAATATTAACTTTCGCAAAACTTTGTGCCATATTTCAGGCGATGGACGATTTCATATTGTTTGAAACAAGGGTCTTGTTCAGGTGGCTTGTTGTTTCCTACGTTCCAGTTCAAAACTGGATTCCCATATGTACGGCCGGTCTTCATCAGTCTTTCTGGACGAATACCGGGAAAGAACCGGAAAATAGAACACCAACCCTTCTTCTTGAGTTAATATCATTCAAATTTTCACATGAGCGGAATATATATTATGCACATCCTAACGAAAACTAAAATTAAAACCCAATAACAATGTCAAAATATAAAATAATCTATAATTCTGCATAGGCCTATATTCTTGTAAGAGAAAAGTTCCATCTTCTTGGATATAACACCGTGTAGTCCGCTGAAAGTCAACTGACGTTTCGGAGGAATATGTTGCCTCCTTCTTCACGGTCGAAGAATAACCTAGACAAGACAACAGCACGAATCAGGTGGTTTCCTACGCGGCTTTATATCCCAGAATATTACCGCTGTGAGAACCTGAAATTCTGAGTGTAGAGTAAATATTTGAAAAAATAATAATTGTAGCCTAATTTAAGAGAAACAGTAGAAATCCATAAATATAATCTGCGGTTGAAATGTCGAAGAGGTGAAGCATACAGTTATCAGTGCGCTACACAAACTTAAAATCATTAAACTAAGACAATCAGTGTCCTTGTGATGTCCAATCGTGGAGCCCTCACTAACATTTCGCGGCTCTAATACAATATGAACCCAACAGATATAAACACTGAAACTTGTTCTTACCTTCTTGAAGTAGCCGCCATGTAAGCGCATATGCCCGTTCAGAGCTGGAATATTCTTAAACTTCCTATGGCACAGATTGCATTCAACAGGTTTGGGGTCTTGCTGTTGCGATTGTTGTTGCTGCTGTTGTTGCTGTTGTGTTTGTTGTTGCTGAGACTGTTGCTGTTTCGCTGAACCGACGCTGTTGACGCTACCGCCAGTCTGGGATTGCCCGTTGCTGACCCCATTCGTCTTGTTGCCAGCACCGACGGTTGAACTCTGCAACAATGGATAATTACATCATCAATGACGGGATAAGCGTTCTAGTCCTTGAACAGAAAATATCCTGAACTATAGGAAGGAAAACAGTTCCTTTCTTTACCAAGTGACAATAATGAGCTGAGCGTGTTGGATATTGTGACGTGCGGCCTGAAAGCTGCAACGTGCCCATCTGGTGGGCAGGGCTTCGCGGAGTACGTTCCCGTGATAACACGAAATGCACCGTTAGGCGGGGCCACATGAGCGCACAAAATGCGTCTGTTGTAACTAACGTACTTTATGATGGACGTTGCTGCGGACACCACACAGTTGCAGAATGCGGTCACTAGTTTTTTGTCTGCAATGGAGCCAGAAGAAAGCGTAGAATTCGTCTCTCTAGTATATTTCTACAACGGACGTCACGACGTTCGTTACAACGGACGCATTTTGTGCGCTCGTGTGGCCCCAGCCTTACTCTGGATTTTGATGGAACTGTTGAAGACATATCCATGGTAACGACTTCTAAACAGACTGTTACCACGGATATGAAAAACAGAATTCTTCAAGATGATTCCTATCCCAGACGCCTAGCAAGGATAAGAGGAGGCGAGTTGAGAAGCCGTTAGTACAGGAGTCAAGGTAGAAGAAGATGACAGAATACGACAGAACACGGAAGAAGGAGATGTGACCTGGCAGTGAATCAACGTGCTTTCAAAAACGAAGCAGAGCTACGCAGAGAGAGATTCGTTATCCAGAGGCAGTTGAGTGTGTGAACTGTTATAACCGAGTGTAATTGTGATAGTGACGTCAAATGAATCCAGTCGTCAAATCTAGAATCCACAATTATTAGTCACGCGTACACCTCTACATGTGACAATATCATAGTTACATCTTATCAGTCGTTGGAAATCAGTTTATTTTGTGGCTGCAGTTAATCTTCTTTTAAGAGTGTTCTGTCCCCTCTCCCCCAAAACAAATTAGGTGTCCTTAGACTTTTCAGGAAGATTGCAAGAAGAATCTTAACGTTCGAAACAAAAGCAGGCACGAGTAATCAGATTTCGGTCTTCCAGTAGGTTGTCGGCCAGAAGGGAACGCTGAAGTTTCCAATGGGAAGCATCAGATCGTATCAGATCGAAACAGAAGTGCGAATGTTTTACATTAAACGAATTGTTTTTCCAAAACAGTCAGCCATATTTTCTCGCTTCAAATCTGGATAAAGTAACTTGCCAAAGTGATATCCAGATACAAAATGAGTTACAAATATGCCACCCAGTTGTACCTAAAAGGTCAAACGAATTGTCAAAGGTGCGGCATTAGAAATGAAGCGACCAATAAACCAAACAGTTTTTTTTAATGTTAATGACAGTGTAAAGATGTCCTTGTGCTCAACTAATTAAGCACTACGCCAGGAAGGCGTGTGGGTGAGTGGATGTATAGATACACATTTTCTTGACCTTGGCATTTTGATGGAGGTGAGTGGTCAGCCACACGCCCCTGCCGCTTTACCCCCGGTACCCATCGGATATGATGCTAGGATGGGCCCCAGTGCTTGTCTAGACGTTGTGGAAAACAGAAAATTCTTGATCCTGTTGGGACTAGAACTCTGACCCCTCAAATCTTTTCCGGACAAGCAAATTGAAATGTGACTTTCCACAGAACAATTTCAGGGACGAAACCAACAAACAACCAACTGTTTTTGAACGCTTATCATGCTCGTCTGATTTAGTTCTGGATGCAATTTTCAAATCCCCGAAGTTAAAATTTATTTTGAAGATAGTCATTTTGAATCACATGGGATGCTAACGGAGCAATCTGCCAACAATGCTCAAAGTAGTCGGTGATTCCAATCATGTCAGTGATGCGTGTAGAGGTATTCGCAAGGTGAGACTGTATTCTTTAAAGTTCTGTGACAATATTTACCTGCTGGAGAATAATGCCGGTAATTTAACTGTCGGAGCTTCCAGATGCCCGCAAACATGACTGACTTGTGAATTAAAAAAGAATATTTTAGGTGATCTTTTAAACCAACCCAAATCAATTTATTAATTTATAATGTATAATTTATTGATGTTCACAGACAGAATTATTTGTTGTTTCTGTGGTATGGAATCGCACTTCTTGCTGTACTTTAGAAGCCCAGGTATGTTGTGTTTAAGATTCCATGAAGGATAAATTATTAGACGGTTATATAGCACTAAATTTTAAGAAGGTAGACGCTAAGGCCTGTACTACAACCCATTAACTTCCTGTTATTTTCATGTAAAGTTAAAGTTATGGTGCCAAATTAAATTTAAACAAATTGACAACATACTGATTGTTATATAGGTCTTTCGTTTTGTTCTTCTTTATACAGTACAGGTTTCGGCCCCAAACGGCCATCATCAGGTGTATACACTCACGTATCTGTTACACTGAACTTATTTATAACATTTAAAATTTAAAAATGTCAGGGTTACTCGCCCTATGTCTATAGTGCTGCAGCGGCTTCTTCTTGTTTCTAGTGCTGTACAGGTGTTATTCTGTGTAGTGTGTAGTGTATAACAAAACGAAAGACCTATAATATAGTTTGCACTTAGGACGGAGTTATACTATATATCGTATAGAGCGCACCAGGATGCTTAAATATAATATTGTATACTGACTGTTGTTAAAAATGGCTATGGGGTTTTAAACTTAATGATAGATATTCTTCCCTCAAATAATATATGATAAGACGGATGGAACATGTAGCATGCATCGGAGAGAAACGTTTTGGTCGGAGAATCTGCACTTGGAAGATTTATACGTAAATGGAACTAACTAACTTCATAGAGCTGAGCCTTTCTTGAGAAGACGCAAATTGTGCATCTACTCAAGAACTTCCCAACATTTTATGGAACCCGAAATTTCATTACCTTGTTCACAAGAGCCCTCCACTGGTCCCTATCCTGAGCCAGATCGATCCAGCTAAACCACCCCATCTTATCTCTCTAAGAGCCTTTTAAAATTGTTCACCCACCTACGTCTTGGTCTTCTTAGTGGTCTATTTCCTTTTGGCTTTCTAACGAGTAACCTACATGCATTACTCTTCTCCCCATTCATTCTAAATGGCATACCCATCTCATCTTCTTTGACTTGATCATTCTAATTGTATTTGGCGAGGAATAGAAATTATAACGCACCTCATTACGCAGTTTTATGGGTGAATGGAAGGATATTAAAGAATTGCGATAGTGATGTGGAGTGAGTTCATCTGGCACAAGTTAAGGGCCAATGGTGAGCCTTCAGGTTCCATAGATTGTGTAGACTGTCTTGAGGAGCTAAGCTACTACGAATATTAATCAACTATGGAGTAAAGATAGTTAAGTCGTTCTGCTTCGTTTGCACTATTCTGAGATAATTTTAAATTATCGCGTATCGAAGTGAACCACTGAACATGAGAGCCACCAAAATCACGAGAAATTAAGCTCTGCCAATTTCGGAGTTGGAGGAAGTCTTATCTTGATGGAAACTTTCCCACTGTGTAATGGGTAGAAGAATGATTATGCACATATTTAATCTCCGGTCATTTTTTTTTATTCTCACTTCGTTCGGCCATGAAATTAGGGGAATTCCTGACGCTTCTAGTGATTAGGACGATTTATTTTGGGAAATTTAAGAGGCTTAGCGGTGGTGCTGGAGGTATTATTCCCTCATCCTTCCGCCTCTATGGCTCCGTGTAATCACTTCGCAGCGAAATAAAACTTTAGGTAGCAGGCGAAAATCAGGCCGTTGCTAGGGGCGGCTTCTTCATGCGCACTAGCGATGGCAAACATTTTCTGTTTCCTGAAGTAAATGAAGTAGAAGAAGCCAGGAAGGGCCAGAAGCTAAATGGCTTAAACTGAATACTTCTTGGAGAGTATGGTAAGGTAAAGTATCCCTGTAACAGGCCTGGAAAAGACTTGGAAAAAAGTGATCAGGACATACTTACTTACTCATGGAGCTGAGCCCTTCTGGAGGAGCCGCCAGTTCTGCAGCTACCCAAGAATTTCCCAGCATTTTATGGAACCCGAAGGTTCATTACCGTGTTCACAAGAGCACTCACTGGTCCCTATCCTGAGCCAGATCTATCCAATCCAAACCATCCCTTCTCTTTAAGATACATTCTAATATTTTCCACCCACCTGCTCCTTGGTCTTCCTTGTAGTTCCTTTCCTTCTGGCTTTCCCACCAATATCCTATCATAATCCAGGTAAATACCCGGTATTTGTCCGGAGGGACTTAAGGAAACCAAGAAACATATCAGTCAGAATAGTCGGTGTTTCGGTTGAAATCTGAATCCAACACGTTAAGGATGCGAGTCTAGAACACCGTTACAATTATGTCAGATTATCAAGATGAGAAACACCTGGAAAGTTTCGAAATGTGGTGTTGGAGAAGGATGGAGAAGATCAGTTGGACCGATTATGTAAGAAATGAAGAAGTGTTAATTAGAGTCAGTGAGCAGAGGAATATCCTACACGAAATAAGAAAACGGAAGGCTAATTGGATTGGTCATGTTTTCCGCAGAAACTGCCTTCTAAAAGAAGTTACCGAAGGAAAGATAGATGGGCGGATAGAAGTGACAAGAAGACGAGGAAGAAGACGTAAGAAGATGCTGGATGACCTTGGGGACAGAAGAGGATACTGTCATTTGAAGGAGAAAGCTCTAGATCGCATTAAGTGGAGGAATTGTTTTGGAAGAGACTGTGGACCTGTCGTCTTGACAGATTACTGATGATGATGATCATCATCATGAGTGGATGACTTATCTCATTAAGAGACCTACTTAGAACAAATTCCCTTATTACTCCATATTATCGGGAGTAGATTGTAAATATGCTATTGATTAAATAAAAATATACGAACGTTATATATCCATTTGTCTCGATTAACCCAGAGTTGAAAGCATGTGAACAAAAAAATGTTATTTAAATTATGAAACTATTTAACGGTGCTATATGAACTACTGAGGTGGGGTCCCGAAACGCCGTGAAAGCGAGAATAAAACATGCAGCTTAATG